CGGCCCGGCTGGGCGGCCGCTGGCGCCGGGGAGGCCTCGGGGGGCTTCTCCCGGCACGCTGGGAGGCGCGGGGCTGCAGCGCGGGTCTGCCTTCCCCAGGAGGGACAGGAGAACGTGGAGATCCTCCCCTCGGGAGAGCGGCAGCAGGCGAACCAGAAGCGGATCACGACTCCCTACATGACCAAGTATGAACGAGCCAGAGTGCTGGGGACTCGTGCCCTCCAGATAGCGTGAGTACTCTGCCCTGTGTCCTCAGCCTTGCCACAGCTTGGGCTCCCTTCCCTGGGAAAGCTGCTTTCCTCCTGCCTTAAAACCTCTAGAGTCTCACACAAGCCCTTGCACAACTGCCAAGCTTGTGGATCACCAGCGTGGTCAATGCTGAGGCACAGGGCCACAGCTCTTGGCTGTGTGTGAAGCCTCCAAATCTCTCCTGGGCTGGGAATGTGGTGCTTGTGCCTGGAGAGGAAGCTGTCCAGCAGCTGCAGTGGACTTCCCTAGCTCCCAGGCAGAATGAGTGGGGAATGTGACAAGCTGATCCTTGCTTCTGCCTTTCACGAGGGAGCCAGCGTGGGCTGGAAGGCTCAGAGCTGTTTTGCAAAACCCAGTGTTGGAGGGTGGGATGCTCCAGAATGTCTCCAGTAGATGCCACAGGGCTTTGGGAATTGGGAATGGATCAACCAACCTGAAATCTCTTCTCAAGTGGTGGTGTGTTGTGGCAAGCTGTAAGCTTTTAAGTCTTTTGAATGGCAAGGCCTCATTTATAACAGGTAATAACAAAGCTTAAGTGCTGTTGAGGCTGTCTGCTCTCAACTTTGTCCATTTGCCTGCCTAGACTTGCTTTAAAAATGCATATCAAAAAGCTTTTCCCCTGTTGAATTATGAGCAAAAATATTAGGCTGGGGCAAGCTTTGTCTGAGAACACATCTCTGAGTTTCAGTTTGGTCATATCTATCATCAAAATGATGCCTCTCCTCTACATCATTTAGAAGCTCGTGGGTGGGGATCAGATTTTTCCTTGCTCATCACTTTGCCAAGCTGATCTTTGCCCTGGCTTCTCCCTGTGAAGCTGTTGTGAGCACACTCAGCTGGTGGAAGGCCAGAAAAATGGGGGAGATGAGGTAGGTCCATGCCACACCTTCAATCCCAGACACTGGTGCTTGCTTCTGCTTCACATCTTCTGCCTTGGCTGTGGAAGCAGGGCCAGCAGCAGCCCCCCAGTGGCCTTACCCATGAATAACTTGGAGCTTCCTTTGCTGCTCCTATCCTGTGGGCAGATCTCATCCCCTGTGTTTGCTCTGCTGTTAAAACCCTTTGCAAAAGGCTTCAGTATTTATTTCCTAGAGGCAAAGTGCTTTGTAAATCCAGCCCCTTGCTTCCCCTCCAAGCCTGGAAGGGGTGAGGACATCAGAACAGGAGATGTGGTGGAGTTGCAGGGGGAGTGCTCGTGTGACAGCATTTTCCTCCTCTTCCCTGGAGTAATTTTAGAACCTATCCATTCCTCACAGCAGAGGGTGACTAGAAAGGTGTAGATCTGACCAGCCCTTGAGCACCACTTGATCAGCTGAGGAGTAGGGCAAGAAAAACAGGTAAAAGCTGAGTCTGTAACCCCTTGGAGGAATTCTCTTCCTGACTAGAAGAGGAACTCAGACTTGCCAGGGTGGCGTCCCACCCTCCTGCCTTGCCAGCCCACGTCCAGGTGACCTAGGTGGGCACGTGCTTAGCTGTCCCCCTGCTCTCTGTGTGTTCAAATACCTGCTGTTCTCTCCCAGGATGTGTGCCCCTGTGATGGTGGAGCTGGAAGGAGAGACAGACCCTTTGCTGATTGCCATGAAAGAGCTCAAGTAAGTCCCAGATGGTGGTGGTGAGTGTGATTGCCATAAAGCCAGCAGTCCTCTCCTCATCCCAGCTTATTCCAAGATAACCTTCATACCAGTGGGCACCACAGTTGCCTTCCCCTTTTTCACCTCAGGACTTCTCCAGAGCTGCTCTCTTCCTTAGTTGCTCTTGCCAAGTCCTGATGATGAGGAGTGCTCTGACCACTTTTACTCCAGAGTCTGAGTGTTCTTTGTTTTGATGATGAGAACCAAGATCCTCATCTTTTTAAATGAAATTCTAAGGGTTGAATTGATTCAAAGCAGCCACCTGAACAGACCTGGGTTCAAGTGAAGTGCTGGCAAAAAATAAAATCGGGGTCACCCTGTTAAGAATGTTCCTTGACCTCACCCTTGGCTTGTTGTGCTTGCAGGGAGAGGCAGGTCCCTTGCTTGGGGAAAGATCAATAAATCCTCTCTGACTGCATCAGAGGCAGGTTTTTGGGGATCGTTTACAGCCTTACTTTTCCCCAGCAGAGCTCCCTGCTTGGCCCACTGTGTGGCTGGTGACCTAAGTCACATGCAGGTGTCCTTCAAGCAGAGCAACTGGACTCTGTTACTGATGATGTCCCTGTTTTTGGAATTAATTGTCCCTCTTCTCTAGTTCCTCAGTGCACTATGGTTGCTCTTGAGGGATTTTTAGATCTATTACAGCTTTTTCATTGCCAAAAACTCCTTGGGTCATGTTCTTGTCAGGTCTCCAAGCTCAGTCTTGAGTTGTTTCTCCTCACTGTTGGCATGTGAGCTCTAGAAAATAAGTCAGGGTGTGGCCAAGTGCTGTGGCATCCTCTGGGCTGTGCCAAAATTTGGGTTGTGATTCTTGGCAGGAGCTACTTTGCTACTGGAAAACAACAGCCCTGAAGGTGATCATTAAAGAAGTAGTATTACTTTTCAAGTCTGATAGGATTGAAACCTCATGCCCTGGTTAGATTCCAGACTGTCTGATTTACCTTCTGATTTAAATCCAATAAGTAAAATCAGGTTCAGCATTTTCTTGCTTTCTAATTGGCAGCACTGGGAGCAGATGCTGTGCTCCACCCCAGGTTTTGGTACCTGAATAGTCCCTATTTTGTATATCCTTCTTAAAAATCAGAACTAGTGCTCTCAGGGTGCAAAATACTCTGTAAATATCAGTTTGTTGTGAAGGTTCTCACAATCCTGCCACTTCTGTAGTGCCTTGTGGGGAAAAATCTTCCATCAAACAAGTTGATTTGTTCTTCAGTCCCCCTGATGCTTCCCCAGCCCAACTCTCTGCATTAGGTGGTGGTTGTTTTATGGTGGGTTCATATCTCAGGGCTCAATTCCTGCAGTAGCCCCACAGGGCTGACCTTTTGTGGGTCTTTGGTTTGAGTTGTGAGGGTGCTTTGCACCTACAACAGAGAAGGTTTCCGGGGCTTCCCTCTACCATGTAACCCCCAATCCCTGGTGCTGTGTGGCTCTCTTGGTTGCATCTGATGAGCTTACTGAGGCCACCAAG